GAAAAAAAAAGTATGATATTTTCGGCAAAAAAAAAAATAAAAATTCGGCGATAATTCTGCAGATATATCGGTAAATATGAAATTTTAGCTAACTAAATACCGTAATAAATTTTATAAAGATGGGCAATTTAGGCAAGATGTATAGAAATTCTATAAATATATTTGGAGAGAAGGTGCATAAATGTATCACCTTTTAACCTTTATTTACGGTGATAAGGTAGTGCCATCTGTTGGCTATGATCTCATCGCGGAGACTTGAAAATTTTACCTAAATTTGTTCAATAACGATAAAACCAAATTTATAGCGATAGAGTATGATTATAGATCACGTTGTTTAATCAACTTGAATTGGTCATTGGCTTTAAAATCATTATTAAAAAAAAAAAAAAATTTAAAAACTGGATAAACCCGAAATTTTCGTTACATTTCCCTGAAATGCGCCTCATGTCGGAAAAATCAAATAAACAGATGTGCGTACATTGGTAGATGCAGGGATGATAGGTAGAAGTTGACATAGTATGCAGGTATTAAATTAAACTGTATAACCATCTGAGACGTTATAGCATTCAAAGTTATGGTGGTTGGTTCTCAACGTTGCCAATAATCGAGGACGCAATCACATGATTTCCAATATCGTACGTACGTACGTACTTCTGTTTCATTTTATTAGGTCATGTGACTGCGACCTCGACAATGAACCGGAGCTGACGCTAAACTGAGCATATTAGCGTGACCTGTTGGCAGTTGCGAACAGCTTGAAGGCATTTATTTTTTAAAAAAAAATTGTATCTACACCACAGTTTGAAGCATGAGGTCATTGCAAGTAAAGATTTAATATCTGGTTGCTCGATAATAGTTTTAGAAAATGAGACAAAAACACAGAATTTTGCAATTATAATTTGACTAATATATTATTTTCTATATAGTACACTAAATTTTTTGTTTTACTATATAGGATAAGAATTAGTAACTCAAACATTTTGCTTTGTTAATAAAACTTAAATCTAAAATCGTAGTTGCTGCAAAATAGTTTTATTTTAAAAAAATTTTTTATTGCTTACATTAACTGTAATTATAAACCTTATACGTAATCATATCTGTTTTTTTATGCTGATTACAAAAATTGTCAGCACGCATAATTACATACATTTCTTTTTGTACATATGATATTAGCTTGTAAAAAGCTATCTATGGTGAACGATTATTAGGGAAGCACGGGAAAAGCATAGAAATTGTACTAAAAATCGATTTAAATGTATATAAGCCTTATGATTATCATATTAAAAAAAAGAAAAGAAGTTAGTTATTTGAAATAAAATAAAGCATATCGATATTAACAGTTAAAGAAATATATAATTACCCTGTGGCATAAGTTTAAGCATTACGCATGTATGTGTGTATATATAAAATACGTATTCCGAAAATCCACAGATCACTTTTCAACTTTTTTTAAGCACATTTTTTAACAATCATCTTTTTTTTTTTTTAAACCCATCTTCCATCAGTACGACTTAATGATACAATTATATAAATAAAAATAGCTAAAACAACCATAATATTACAAACACATCGTTTAGCCCATCTTCGATAAGTCGGATCTTTCGAAAATAGATAACAAGCACCAATAAACCAAAAAGGTAAAAATATGAAACCATAAAAATAAAAATTTTTAATTAACAATGTGTTCTCCTGAGGTTGAATGGGTTCAAATATTTGAAAAGGGTCAATTCTATGATGAGGTTCAAGTTGAAAAGTTTCATTTTGATTATTAGGAGCTATCGTTATAGTTGTACTATTTTCTTCGATAGCATTTGGATTATATACTGGAGGCATATCTTTTATCGCTGAATAATATGAAGGTAAATATTCACGTTGAAAAATATGTATATCATTAGAAAGTATAGTCATTTGTGCAGTTAATGATGGAGTTGTAGAAGGATATTCGACATGTGTTGATGTTTCTTGAAGTGGATGAGTTGATATAGACTGAGATTCTTGTAATGGATGTATTAATATTGGTGGTGGTTCCTGTAATGAGTGAGTGAAGGTAAGAGATAATTCTTGAAATGGAGGGGACTCTTGAGGTAGAGGTATAGGAGTCTCTTGGGACTCTTGAGGTGGAGGTGTCTCTCGGGATTCTTGAAGTGGAGGTGTCTCTCGGGACCCTTGAAGCTCTTGAAGCTCTTGAAGCTGGAGAGACTCTTGAAGTGAACATGATTCTTGAAATGAACATGACACTTGAGGTGAATGTGATTCTTGAAGAGAATGTGATTCTTGAAGTGAGTGTGACTCTTGTAGTGGATGCGTAATGGCTTCAACCATTGTATTGACATCATTAGAGTCCATTAGAATTCTATTTTATTTTAGGTGAAAAAAGTTTTTTATTTTTTTTTTTATTTTTTTATTTTTTGAAGGTTCGTAAAAAATTTTTTTAAAATAGGACGTGAAATTTATAAAGAAGGAACAAACAACTAGAAGTGAAAAAACAGTAATAATTTAACCAGTTACTGTTCTCGAAATGAGTATGCTAACGGACACCTCATTATTTTGCTTAGAACCTTGAATGGACATTAATAGTTTATTAGTTCCGGTATTTATAAAAAAACTAGGGCATATTTATGCGCTTTGTAAGCAAGAGTGACATCTACCATGCCTTAAAAGATTTACATAAAGGATTTATAAAATCGTTTTGCACAAAATAAAATCATAAAGTTGGATTACAGTCAATGATACCATACATGAGAATATTGAACAAGGGAGATTTACAACAAAGATTGAAAATAATCCAATCAGAAATTAGGTTAATAATGGTGTATACCACTGTATATCACATGGAAATTGATGGCCCGGTTATCTGGTTTCTCATCGAATGATTTCATTTTGTAAAAAATTGATGTTTTCATAACTCTTCTAAATACGCAAGGATTATGCATATGTATTCTTTGTTATTAACGTACCTTTGTTCACATCAACAAATAAAGGTATTAGAAGTAGATTAATTACTATTAATACATTGAAATTTTATTAAGTCCTTTGTTTATACCCTGTATGCATAAATATAATATACTGTACATGTGCTGTCTGCTTATGCAAAAAATAAATTCCAATCTGCAAGATTTTCGATTTATTTCTGTGCAAATATCGGTTTTTTTTTTATGATCTTCATGCAGAACGCTTGTTCCAAAAAGTCTTGTTTAACTATAGAATTCCCGGAAAAATTGGTCATCTCATAATTTATTGATAATAATATTTATATAGATTTAAGTAATTTAAGTATTTAGTATTTGTTTTTTATTTAGTCTTACAATATATTAATATACTCTCACTAATCGCAAGTTGGTGTTTTTTTTTAAAAAAAAATTATTTCCTAAACTGTTCACAATATGTGTTTTTTAAAAAATTAACCTTTTTTTTAA